ACAATAAATATTATCGATAAAATTTATGTTTATAAAAGAAATTTATGTTTATAAAAGACAAGAACAAACGATTATGTAAAATAAAACTTGTTTAAAAAAAGCATTACATCAACAAAAGATGTTTCGAATACAACCTGTCTGTAAGAGACATCACACCTACATAAAAGGTGTGTCGAATAAAATTTGTCTGTAAGAGACATCACATCTATGTAAAAGGTGTGTCGAATGCAACCTGTCTGTAAGAGACATCACACCTATGTAAAAGATGTGTCGAATACAACCTGTCTGTAAGAGACATCACACCTATGTAAAAAATGTGTCGAATACAACCTGTCTGTAAGAGACATCACACCTATGTAAAAGATGTGTTAAATACAATTTGTCTGTAAGAGACATCACACCTATGTAAAAGATATGTCGAATACAATTTGTCTGTAAGAGACATCACACCTATATAAAAATTGCGTAAAATAAAACTTACTTGTAAAAGACATTGTACAAAACTGTGACGTTTAAAAAAGCATCTTCTATAAAAACATGAATTATTTATACACCCACAAACATACACATACGCAAAGACGCGCGCGTACGCACGCACGCACACACACACACAAATACACACATACACACACACACACACACACACGAGGTGTAAACCCGACCAGGCAACCTCCACGCGGTACACCTTGGGTAACGCTAATGCCGGCGGTCCGAGAAAAAATGATTATACAAATGATAACTGGGAAATATCTCGCAAATATGTAAAATAGATCAAACTGAATATAATTTTTTCTGCAAATAATTATGTAACATTTGGGGTTATTATTTTATGTATAGTATTATTTTAATTATTTCTTGATATTATTTTAATTATTTCTTGATATTATTTCATGTAATTATATATAAATCATTTTTTCCCGGAATGTTATATTTTAATCACTTTTTTGTCAACTTATGTTATAGCTTATAATATTAGCAAAGGATGCAAGTCCGTACGATTTTATCATAAATTTTATTATTATGTTGTGTCCCTTTACTCACAAGCAGATGACGCCAACTGCAAAATTGATTTCTGAACGAGATATAGCGCGTTTGATATGCATAATATAAAGTTTATTCAAAATTCTAAAAGAGTTTAGGTGAATGGGTCTTTGTTTCCTAAATATTGCGAAGTGAGAGTCATGGAGCCATGTCACATATAAGCCACAACGTGGCATTCACTTCCATCGAAGCGGTGTAGCTAAGCAAACTGAGACTCTTACGCCGATACTTTCTGCACCGGCAGTGAGTCTTCGAGACCGGCTGACGAGGCGACCACGTGCAATATTTTCTTTGTGTTTCGTATAACTGTAGTATATATTTTTTGTATTTCTATGTCGATATAATTGTTATGTGAACAATTAGGGCAGTGTCACGTTGCAGTAATAAAAAATAATATAAAAACATACGGTTTACAATTTGCAGACATAGATTATGCAAAACATTCAACACATTATGTCTACAATGATTGTAAACAGAATGTTTTTACATTATTTTTCATTACCAAAATGTGACACTAATTGCTCACATAACAATTACATCCACACAGAAATACAAAATATATATACTACAGGTATATATATATGTTCGACAATACGAAACACAAAAAAAAATATTGCACGCAGTCGCCTCGTCAGTCGGACTCGAACACTCGCAGAAAGTACCGGCGTAAGAGTCTCAGTCCGTTTAGCTACGTCGCCTAGGTGAAAGTCAATTCCACATTGTGCCTTATATGTGACATGGTTCCATGACTCTCACTTTGCATTGCAATATTTAGGAAACAAAAGCTCATTTACCTAAATCTTTTTAGAATTTTGATACTCTATATTACGCGTATCAAACGCGCTACCCAGGAAAAAAAAGTTCAGATAAAAGCCAGATATGGATTTTGTCAAGATCTGATTAGATATAATTAAATATAATTCAGATATGATTCAGATCTGTCCATATATAGTCATATATAATTTTATATATGATTATATATGATTATATATAGACAGATCTGAATCATATCTGATTATATCTGACCAGATCTTGACAAAATCCATATCTGGCTTTTATCTGAACTTTTTTTCCCGGGTATATCTCGTTCAGAAATCAATTTTGCAGTTGGTGTCATCTCCTTCTGAGTAAAGGGACATAGCATAGTGTTTGTGATAAAATCGTATGGACTTGCATCCTCTGCTAATATTATAAGTTGCTCTGCTATAATACAGGATGTCCCATTTTAAATTACGTACCCTGATAATTCTTCAGCCAAGCATATTCAGTAAAAATGTTTCAAACAAAAGTTGTCGGGTTTAGAGGGGGACAAGTGAGGGTGATTTTTACTTTAACCTTGGAAATCATTTTGAAGGTTATTCGAAAGTCAACTTTGCTTTTTAAATAGAAACATCTATTTTTTATTACGGAGCTTTATTCCACGTAAAAAAGTTAACAACTTTTGTTTGAAAAAACTTTCTATACGACCTCCATTTTCTAAGATATTTATGGATACATCTACAAAATTATTGGTTTCAATAATTTTTTACTCGAATTCTATTAACTTTACCGAAAAATAACAAAAGATAAAAATTATTTATTTTCTTCTCATAGAGCTCTGAGAATTTTTTAGAATTTTTTTATTAATTTCTTAGTACTGCATTTTTTTCATTTTCTTGAAACTAAAAAATTAAAAACTAAAATTAAAAACTAAACTTTTCTTTTCTACTAAAAAGTTTATAAAAAATTATTATATATATAACGTAATATAACATAAATAATATAACATAACACAACATATAAATAACACATTT